CACATTATCTTAAAAATCAGAAAGATATGGAGGAACATATCTGGGAATGCAAGATGAAGTAGGCTGGAACAATTATTTAGGTACTTGCATAAACAATGGACTGTTGAACAAGAATATTTTGCAGAAAGTATCTGAAAAATTTTGATATAAGCATGAGTAATCTAGAAATTGTTAGTGGAGAGAAATATATTGTCAGATTTTGTTTTAAAGGCTTGAACCTCAAGCTATGAATGTTCCTATCTTAGAGGGAGAGGATTTAACAAGAAAATATGTTAATGGTTGTACAATCAACATTTCAATAACTGTAGATAAAAACAAGGAAAAGGTTAGTCCATTTTGCAGAATAGGTGTATTGAGAAAACAGATGCATCAGCAACATCATAAAACATTCCTCAGGTACTTTGCTTAGGAGAATTACAAATGACAGACATGGCTGGAAAAATTTTTAATGCAACAAACTGCCGAACACCCTCAGCAGGCAGAGATGAAGATTAAGTTAAGATGGTTATTGCAAACCAGTCAAGGTCAGCGAATCAAACATGTGAACTACATGCATGCAAGGAGTTGCTTTTTTTTTTTAAGTAGGTCATGATTAGAAGACAGCTGTCATTCAGGGATATTTATTCCACGACCCCAATGTATTCAGTACAAAGAGTAGTAATGAATCTGGAAATGGTGTATGTCCTTCAGTCTTGGAGATTCCCTGGAGTGGTAGTTCAGTGGTTCTATGCAATTGCATTTTGAGAGAAAGAGAAGAGGGCCTGGTTTTTTTTGTTTGTTTTTTTTTTTTTTTTTTTTTTTTTGGTTTTTTTTTTGTTTTTTTTGGTTTTTTTTTTTTTTTTTTTTTTTTTGGGTTTTTTTTTGTTTTTTTTTTTTTCTTATTTGGAGTAATAAATAATAATGTATAGTGAAATTCTGAGGTCACAGACTGTGGCTGACATCCTGTACAAATCCAAATAACATTGTACAGCAAACTTATATTGGATAAAGGCTTTTCTTTTTTGCAATTAATAAATCGTAACACAAAGGCAGAAAAGCAGAGCATGTAAAAGTACCCACTGAAAAAACACTCTCTCCTTTCTTTTGTATTGATGGAAACAAACTGTGAATTTAGTATAAAGGATAGTTAGTTTTAGTTGCTTTCAGAAACCTCAGCAGGCATCTCCAACAACTGAATAATATTTTTTAAAGGCAGTTCATTATTTAACTGTCCTCTCATTTTAAATGCTAGCATGAGAGTCAAGAAATGTATTTATTTTGTATTTCAGGTCGGACCTGGTCGCTTTGCAACTGCACAAAATACACCTCATCAGCAAGGGCCACTGGCTGATACAGACCATACTCCTAGAAAGTCCTCTGTTTGTAAAGGAACCTTAAAAAAGGGTCAAAAGAGATAAAACATTGGACTCAGTCAAGAAAAAATCAGTACCTATAGAATAGATATTGTACCAAAGAGTGATATATTAATATGTAGTTACCTTAAGTAGATACAAGAAAAAAATCTGTTTTTAATGACTTGAAAAATTGCTTACACATTCCAGACATTGCAGTTTAAGCATCTCATTGAACAGGGTGATAAATCTTCACATAAACACATTTGATTCTTCATTTTCCTGAATACAGTACCCACATAGTTTTTGTCCAAGCCCATTTTGTTTCTTGAATTGTCACTTTTAGCACCAGGACTTCTGACATCCCAGTTTTCATCTAAACACTCATTAATGAGCTTGTTAGTGCCAGCAGTTTCTCCCAGCCTGTTGGAGAGGCCTTTTGCAATGTCCGTCTCCATTTGGGTTGCTCCCAGCTCTTTAACTGATCTTACTAATCTAATAATTGTTGGGCTCTTATTCCCATTGTCTCCAAAAATAACTCATCTTCTTTCATCTTGGCACCTCTAGAATGCCTGCACGAACTGGTGAGCAGCAGACCTTTGTGTAGATGACTCAATTTCTGAGCTATTTTCTAATTTGGTCAATGCCAGAATTCACTATGTTACAATAGCACAAGACTCCCTGAGGCTCTTCATTTTAAAACCAGTTGCTGTCCAGTGCTATGGCATAAATTTCTGTGACATTGCAGGCTTTTATGCTGTGACTTACAAACTGGCACTTAGTTTGTCTTTTTTGCCTGTTAGCAACATCTTGGGAAAAGCACAAAGTTTTGCTTTTTTAACTGCCTGATCGAAAAAAGGAAATAAATTTGAGCTAAACATACTACAACTCTTTTTTTTTTACTTCATGAAAGAGGAATGGGATAGGTGTGTTTATAAGTGTATCTTCAAAATGTTTGTCACATAACAAGACAAACATAGAAGTGGTGGCATTGAAAATAAAGGCAAATAGTTTTGTTTCAAAATTGACTACCTAAATTCTATAAAAAGAAGAACCCTAAGAAAATAATGAAATAAAATAAAACATACATAAGAAAAAATGTATTTGAGGTTTAGAAAAATTTCTATATATGCATTTTCCAAAAATCAGAAGGATTTTTCTTATGGGCAGGTCTGTTACACCCTTATTGAGCAGGAAAGTCATCACATTGTAGAGTAGAAACGTCATCTAGTACTTAAAGATAGAGAAGTTAAATTGAGTTGTGCTAATTTAATTTAACTTTTAGGGTGACCCTTTGGTGACTGATAATTTTTAACTATAATTTAATGATGACATTTGCCCAAGACTATCTGTATAAAGTTTGTTTTATTAAACTAGTCTATTTGTATTTCTTGCCTGCCTACAAGAAGGATTAGCCAAGGTATATAAAGATTCTCTAATTGAAGTCTTACGTCGAGTAGTCTTGCTCAGTTTTTTATGTTTATATTTGTCTGACAGCTCTGCAGAAGCCTTGCTGCTTTATTACTTGTTTAGAGAATGTATGGTCTGTTGTCTTTTTACAATTAAAACCAAGTTATACGTATTTTACTAAGAAACCAAAGACTGTGACTTTTGGCAGGGTTTTTTAATGCTTTTTTACATGCATATAGGTGAATGTGTAGATGACTCGTTATTACTGGGCATCAAGGCAAAGGCCTATTAAAAAAATGTAGAGGACTTATATAAGTCCTCCTAATTTCTGAGCAAAAACTACAGCAGTATACTGTAGCCAAGGTATGGATAAAGAACCATTAACTGGAAATCAGTTTTGCTTTTGCAAAAACTTTAAATCAGTCACAAAGTGAGCCCCATGACATTTTCCAACAACTGTATTGTTTCTGCTACAGACACCGTGCCTGCAAATGAGCAGCTGCGAATGCAAATGCTCTTGGTAATTAAGCATTAATGTTAATTAATAATGACTGGAGAATGAAGGGGACAGAATTTCCCCAAATAGTTACATTTATCCTTCATAAATCAGTATTAACACAGGGAGCACAGCAGCACAAACAGCATTTGATTTTGCCAGACAGCCGTGGACCATAATTTGGCTGTTGCAGGGGAGAACAGACAACACCCAAGAAGCTGGGCTTGCTGTCCCTGCTGTAACCCAGGGATGGAAAAAGAGGGCGTAGTGGTGGAAGGAAAAATAATCCCATTCACTGTTAATCCCTCATGGTGACATGCCCAGTAGTCAGCTGTGGCTTTCCACAGCTCTCACAGATGTACACCGTAGCATGTCCACCTGGAATTTGTTTTGCTGCTGTGACCTGGGGTTCATAATCCCCTGCTGCTTTGGCAGACACCACAGGGTGACCATAGCAATTGATTGTTCAAACATTCTGGAAACAATTATGGTGGATACTAAGCACTTTTGTGTCTTATAGAAAACTAATTAAAACAGACTTAGTGCCTGAAGAAGGATGAAGCTTTTAAAACCGCATAGGATACCTTGCTCTGGCGTTCAATTGAAAGACCACTAATAGAGGAAACAATCCCTTTAAAATGTTATTATACTTTAACACTTCTGTAGGTGATCAATGCAGGTGAAGAAGGGGCATTTTTTTATATTGTTTATGCCAGTTAAAACTTCTGTTGTAAGTGCAATGCAGTACACAGCTTTATAAACTGGGTACTGCTGGGGCAGGTTAGATAATTGGCTGTGTAATAATTCCATTGCTCAAAAGTGTTATTTATATCAGGAACTTAAAGTGATGTTCATGGGTCAGAAAAATCTCTCACTACTTTTGTACCCTCTCCAGAATACTCTAGGAGATGTATTTTAGAAGATGCAGTTCAATATTGTGTTTACCTAAATGAACAACTGCAAATCTATGAGACTTGATGGATATTTTACAAACTATATATGAGCTAGGCATTATGTGGGATGGATTTCTTTTTCCTTATGAAGGTTTATATGCTATTACAGCATGAGTACTATATCCTAAAATAATTTAAACTACCTGTAATCTCATAAAAGGCTAAAACACAACAGGGACTGAACAAGCTGCATTGCCCAAGGAGTAAAGCAGAGAACGGTCAGCATTTCTCAGGTTTTTTTTATGCTCAGAAGAATTGGATTAAGTAGGCAGTTAATCTCCTTGAATTATTTTATCTATGGCCAGTGGTTTGTACTGAGAGCAGCAGTCGAGTCAGCCTGTGCCTGTTTTGAACCACTTGGTGCATGGGTCCTGTCTCAGCTGCAGTGTTGCTGCGATGACAGGGATGGACTGCATCACCTTATTTACAGTGTTGTGTAAAGCATGGCACGTAGTAGTGGCTTATCAAATAACATGTTAATAGACAAGAAAACTACTGCTATTCAGACCTTGCTGCTTAGAAAAATATTTTAATTAATCCATAGCGTAGACTAAGCAATGATAAAATACAAAGTCTATACTGCACAGGACATTACAATAAGCATAATCCTTCCCTTTAGCTTAATATCTCACCTCTTCCTTTTTTTTTTTTTTTTCCAGTTCTTAAGGTTAATAGTATGTGCAAGACAATCTATAAAATAAATTTGTTCACATTTTCTCTGTTGCATAATGTATAAAAATATTTTGGGTTTCCATCAAAATTAACTTTTAAAGAGAGAATTATTGGAAAATACAAGACTCTACAAAAATATGACACATCAAGACTTTAAAGTTTATGTGGGAAAACAAAGGTGTTGACTCAGAACACATTCACACATGGAGGGAGGAAAAGGCAAGCTTAGTAGACTGCAAGACAGGAAAGCAAAAGGGACAGTGTGGGGGTTCATGTACTTATCAGTTTAGGAGTGATTAATTACTTTATACAAAAATAAAAGAAAACAAAGGATTGCACCATGCCAAAGGATTTGTCCATACATCTACAATACACATTGTACTCCTTTGTACTCCTTCATTTTGATGTTGCCTTGTTTAAGTATCTTCATTTTCTCCCCTTTTGGCCTAAAATGGATTGGTGAAAGCAGACCCTGCAAAATTATGAAAGACAGGTAGTTATTGTCCAAGCAATACGTTAGAAATGCTATGATTAAATAATCTGCATGTTCATTCCAAGAACCTGAATCATCTGACCAGGTACATCAGTAAAAAGCACATTGCTGAGGAGGAACGGGGGCAAGAGATCTAGGACTGATTAGTAAGATGTAAAGTCATCTACATGATCTCAGTTCAGGCTCAAACCCGATCATCATGACCTGAACCTGTAACTGTTCAGTGATTCACAGTGACCATGACATCACATTATATGTCAGTAGTTTTACTAGGAAAAATAGGGCTCAAACCATCAGGGACTTGAGCTTCCCTTCTGCAGAACGATGATTTCCCAAAGCTGAGACTGAGCTCCTAATACCAGGAAACTTTCAGTATTACAATTATTTATCAATGTATTGTCATTTGTATACACAAAGTGATAGAGAATGCAGCATCCATTTCCACACACTTCCACATGCATACTCAGTATTTTTTACACTTTGTTGAATATAGAAATGTGGTACTCTAACTACCAGTGTCTCGTGTATTGTGAAAGTAGCTACCATTGAAAGATGCAAACACTTTTGACAAGTAGAGACAGAAAATTGGAAATGAGTATATTGAGTTGTCTAAACAATCAAGGGTGAGGATGGAGCATTGGTTCAGTTTACTATTAGTACCATATCCTATAACTATAGTTACCTTCTAAAGTTCTGTGTGAGTACGTGGAAGAATATTTGGGAGATGTTAATTGTCTTCTGCCCATTCCATGGGATCTTGAGAGCACACAGTCTACATACATATCCCAGAAGTTCTGGGCTAAATCATTGAAGAGGTCATTGTGCTTGGGCTTAGGGGATTCCTTTAGGAACATCATGAAGTCCCAGAGAGCAATGACTGTATCTGCTACCTTGAGTTTCTTCATTTCCACCAGCCCATGGGACGATACCTCCCAGCACTGATGGTCAATCTCACGCAGGCTTGGAGGAGTTTCTTTTTGATACTCTAGATTGGCATAAACCAAATTCACTAATAACATACAGCCTAGCTGAAGATACCACCATCGTTTCCATACAAATTCCATACTTGAAGAAGATACCTGGAAAGAAGTTAATAAAATCACAGTGATTCTGACGTTATATAGTTCATTGTCACATAACTCTCATGGGTACCCCAAGAGATAATTTATACATATATTCAGAAAAAATCCTTTTTTTCCAAACTGTGGAATAAATACCAGTCAATGAACCCTAATGCTGGAAGCTAGGCTTGCACCTAGAAATTGTTAATGCCATTTAGAATGTGAAAACCCAAAGCAAAAAGTTTGAAGTGACCATAGCCAATGTTAGAACTGCTCCTTTAGACCAGCACTTCTTCCCTTAATCACCTGTGCTTGGATTGTCAGTAAAATCAGGTTAATATCAGATGCTTGAAGAGTCCTAGTGGTATGCTATTTTAAGTTACTGCAAACAAATAACAATTATAAACAGCCAGTCTTTCATGGAAAGTCTGACTCAGAAAGATGATAATGAAGGAATGGTAAATCAGACTGTACAGTGTATTGGGTGAATGTTATGAACTAATTCAGCAGCTGTTGCTTCCAAGAATGGAAGAGGGAAAATTCCTTTCTGGCTTATAATAGAAAATTAAGTAAGATTTTGGCATTATTTGGCATTATTATTTCTAGTATATATGGAAAACAGAGAAAGTATCTGGAGAATTGAAGATGGAAAGAGTAATAAAAGCGGAGGCATAAGAACTTCAAATGCTACAGAATATGTGTCCTTTACTATACGGAGATTCCCCCTGGGAAAAATGCAGTCTTCCTATGATGTGTATTCCATATCCTTAAATCAAGTTTAGACAGAACAGCACTAAAACACCTGATATTTTTTTATTAGCCCTTTCTATCAAGATAAAGTGCAGAGGAACAGGAAAATAAACATAAAGAGGAAACCAATGAAACAAAAAAGACAAACATAGGAAGAAGTCTGAAGAAAAAGAAGACAGTCAAAACTTTCAGACAGTGCCCCTTATTTTGGTATCCTAAATCAATTCCATTTTAAGTAGTTGGTGCCATGTTTATTCCCACAGTTTCCAATTTGGAGTGTAAAATACAATTACGAAAATGATGTGAGGTTTTGTACAGAAAAAAGGGAACATTTTGAGCAGCTGTGCAAATTTTACTGGGAATTTGGCCAGAATTGCAAGTGTGCTCTTCCACTCAAAATATCACTGTCAATATTAAAAGTTAGTCTGTAATATCTTCAAAGTGCTAACTCACTGACATCTTTTCTGCAACTCCTAGTGATGCAATCAAAGACAGAATAATCCATAGATCATACAACATTTATGTGGAATGTCTGTAAGAATACAGAGTTGGGGTGACACCATGGAGTTCACAATCACACCAAACTGTGTCAGCACAGCTTGAAATAGGCCTTTTTGCTGTGGCCTCAGGGTCCTGGGATGATTTTTAGTTTGAATGTGTAATCACACTGCTGCAGCCACCTGAGGTCCCTAGTCAGGTATTCCTTTACTTCAGCTTCAGAACCCAAGGAACTGAGCCAGACAGATACCCTCCAACCTAGCTCCTTCCTAAAAACCTGGCCCAGCTACATTTCAGCAGGCAGCAGAATTACCTGCCTCAGCATCCTGAGAGTTTATCAGCATGCATTAGTTTTCTTCTTTGGGTTCTTAGAAAACTGGTTCCAGCAAACAAGTAGGGATGGAAATGCTTCTCTTCTTGCTTCCACTTCACTAGGCACCAGCATTCAGAGGAAGGACACACTGGCAATTTCCTACAAAGTAGGAAAACGGCAGCCGGGAAACAACCAACATTTTGAGTTGTTCTGATTTCATGTTTTAATCCAGCTAAAAACTGAAAAGCTAAAGGCCCATTTGAACAGCACAAACATGAGCAGAGACCACAAACCTCAGACACCTTGAACTAGTAACTCCCACTACTCAGTACAAGAGAGAGGAATTTCACAAAGGCAGTAACTAAAGAGCCACAGCAGAAGTTATACTTACAGTATTTAAGCGAGGAGATGGAAAACAGTAGCCTTGAGAAACAGAAGTCAGCCACTTGGAGATAAAGAAAGACATTCATGAGAGGGCTGCAAGTGCCTGGCAGCTGCTGGATGCTCCGAGGATGCCGAGGTTACAGTGCACAGGGACGACTGCCACTGGCAAAGCAGCAGCAGCAGCAGCTGAACTCGGGTCTGGGCAAGGGTGGAGGGAGCTGTGGCAGCCCCACCTCTTTCTGCAGCAGTGCCCAGTGTCAGCCCGGGCTGGGCTGGGGCCTCACCTGGAGAGACTGCCTTTGGGGGTGGGGGTGTCTCGAGAGAGGCAAGAGGAGGGGCAGAGGGCTGTCAGAGGGAGGAAAACATAATGGATAGCAAATCTTTCCCGTAATCAGGAACATGAACACTCTCATTTAATAAACTCCCATTCATAAACCTGGGTTTCCATGCATGTTCCTGTTTACCCACCAGAACATTCAGGGACAGTGTTCAAAGTAATGAAAAAGAACAAATATGTTGTAAAATTGGGTCTGTTAAGATTTCACAGCATGATTTGGTGGAGTTTAACATGACAGGAACATTCAGTTTTTTCAAGTAGAAATTTAGTGATTTCTGTCAAAAACCGATACATACAATGCTTAAGCACAAATGCAAATCTGTTCTGAAATGACAGTGTTCGCAATAATTTTGTATCTTCTGGAAGCCTTACCAGCTAAACTATGTCAAGACTGTTTCAAAATCTTGCTTCAAAAAGTATGCCATGTTTGAACCTACACAACTAAATAGAAGGAAATATCTGGAAGACTGGAACATAGTTAGCTTATCTCTGAACTCATTGTATCATTGAAAGGAGCTAAAGCTCTATTAGGTGAAATTATTCCTTGACATTCTAAGGCAGTTTTCATAAAAAAGAAATTAAAGCATTAGAAAGACTTCACAAGGAACCTACCTTTAAGCGAGCTCCCTTGCATCACTAATAAAAAACAGCATTCAGTAAGTTTTCAAGTTAGAAAAATTTTCCCTTTTTGTTTCTTTATGCACTATCACATTTATTAGCGTTGTCACAGTGAAACTGCCAAAATTGTAAAGGCATTTAATGGCATGTAAAGAGGTGGTTAGTTCCACAGCTCTTTGGCTGTGGCATCAATCCCTTCTCATTTCATTGCCACTTAAAGCATCTAGGTGTAGTAGCACAAACTACTGGTGCAAACAGTGATTTCCTTCTACTCCAACAGCCACTGAAGGCAGCCTTTCATCATATTTCTTCATCCTACAGATTCATTTTTATTACTCTCCTCTTGCTTTTCCTTTTTCTAGTTAAATCCACCATTTTTAGTCTTAAGGTACTTGCAGAACACACCTAAGAAATCAAAGTGCTGAGGAATAGATTTTTGTTGGGAAATATTTTCAAATAAAAATACCTCTTTTTAAAATGCCACCTTGTCAGCAATGTTCTCTAAGGAATCTACATGAAGATTCATTGATAATATCTAAAAAATCATATCTCTAAGTGAAAAAAGTTCTGAAGGCTGACTTCTATATTTTGTTTACCTTTCTGATGTTATCAACTTTGTCAGTCATGCACTGAGGGATCATCGCCTGTGGGGGAATGCCACCTGGAACAAGGATGAACCCATTAATACAAGTTAGCAGAGATCAAAATTATTGGTAACTAATAATCCTGTGAAATGTTACATGAAGTTTGTAGGATGGAAGCATTATGAAGACAGTCACTGATCATGTTTATTAAACTAGTCATTTAAATTTTTATTTCAGAACAAGAAGAGTCAAAGAAAGTCAAGAAAAATCAATCTGTGACCACCTTTGTAATATCTAACATACCTGAAAGCTGCATAAAAGCTTGGATTGAAGAGGAAATCCTTAAAGCAGAGAACCTATCCATTTACTTTGGAAAGATTTTTTTGAGATAATGACTAAATATAAATGGGATTTAGAGAAAAATTGTGTTGTGTTCTGAATTCTGCAGGGCTTCCAAAAGAATTCCAAAGCTGCAGCATGCAGCACGCATATAAACCCAAGGACACCAGCACAGCTGCTTGACACTGAGTTTTATTAGATGGCTCATATGGCTCATAGTAGTAAAAGTATCTATTTCTGTGATTTTTAATTTTTAGCTGATAGCTGAATCTGGGCAAAATAAAACGTTTCCCTCAAAACTCTTCCAGCATTGATACCTTTCCATGGCATGTTTTAAACTGTTGTACTTCCTTCTGTTACGGTAGCTGAGGTGCTTCCATCTAGTGGGACTTTATGGTACTGAAGAGTGTACCCTTGCTATTGGGTAAATCTCTTTTATTTTTCCCATAAAACTGTAAAATTAATACATCAATATTTTACAATATTTGGACCTTGGGTATGTTGGTGAAGTTATTTCTCTCAATTACTAAAACCATTATGCAAATGTACCAGCTGTGTTCACGTTCAGAAAGGCAAGGAAAGAAAAACTGACTTTCATTTTTTGATTATTTCAACTCTATGTTAAATAAAGCTATATTGCTAAAATATTTCAGCATAATTTCTACATATTTCCATCGAAATTAGTTATTTTTTAGACTGAGAAAAAGACTACATAAAGCACAAATTTCAAAAAACTGCTGGTGGAAGTTTTAAAATAGTTGGGGGAAGAGATTTTATGGCTTCTTCTTGTTAGAGTTGATGACAGTACACTACTTAGTAATTTATACCATGAGAGAAAAGAAACAGGGGTAAAACTGTGCTTTGAGGTAGCTGTAGCCTTGTGATTTTCAGGCAATCATATATAAATATGTGAAGTATACAGTAAGAACAAAAGAGCAGGAACTGAAGCATTACTTATCATGAAACTCAGAATATGCATTGACTATGTATAAGTCAGTTTGGAGAGCTTTAAAATGCTACCAGCCTTTTGTGACTGATTTATATATATCTCTGTGACACAGGCACACTTGTTCGTACACAGCATTGATTCACTGAGGATAAAGAATTGAGTCACCCTCTGCATCACAGATTAGCAGCTTCTGAAGTAAAAAAAATGATAAGAATGATGCTCTGCCATCAGGCTTGACAATGAAGTGCTCACAGCCCTGTTACTGAAAATCAAGTATGACACACCCAATGCAAGCAGGAGAGAAAGGTGATAGAAGCAGTCCTGCCCTGGCAAACAGTCTCTTCAGGAGACTAGATACATTTTTGAACTCAGGTATTTGGACAATGAAACATCTAAATGTCCTCAAACTTCAGAGTGTTAAATGATTCTATTTCAGTAATTCTTAGCATCATGTATGTGTGATGAGCCACTTAATATTATTAAAGGACCTAGAAAATGCATAATGCCACACTTCAAATAAAATGTTGCTTAATTCCCTGCTGGCATGAGCTTGTTGGCATAAACTTGCTCTCTGTTGAAACAAATCTACTGTTATGTCAATAAATTCAACACCTTAACTCATAACATATAGGAGACCAGCTTTTCTCTATTTCTGTTTTTGAGGTCAAGTTGTGGACTGATTTCATGACATCAGTTAACACTGGTTAGTAGCTCTGCTGGCACCTCTGGGCCAGTCCACACATTAACTGCTGTACATTAAGGAAGTGCAGCACCCTGAATTTAAGGCTCTGCTAAGTGGACCAGCTTCAGACCAGGCTGCTCTTAACAGTTGTAAGGATTAAATTCAAACACTATGTACCACAAAAGCATAACAGCACAAAACCAGGGTGTAATTTGATACATACTTGTACTGGTATCCAAGGAGGACTCTGGGCCTGTGACTTGATCCTTGAAGAACTATCTAACCTTAACTTACCTAGGCTTTTTTCATCTCACTTAAAAGTTCTTTTGCTTATTTCATTCTTTCTGTTCTTTTCTATAGAATGCTGACATCATATGCTTTACTGAAGTCACAGTAACACAATCTAACTGTTGCATTCATAAGGACTTCTGAACCTTGCCTACTATTCAGAAAAAACTGACAGGTCCTTCCCATATTATTAATCACAAATCTGGACAAAATGTTCTGCTGTTTGTACTATGAATTGGCATGGTAACACAGAACAGGAAGATCCTCCTGAATGACAGGGATTAGTTCCCTGCCACTACAAAAAAACCTCTGTTGTACAATCACCTCATATATTTATCAAGTGCCATATTAAAAATAGAAATACTTTTGTTCCCACTAATTCCATGGAAAAGCAGTTTCATTAGTCAATTGCAGTAATGACTAGAAATATTATTCTGGTTTCCTGATATATTTATTACTGAATAGTACATATCTGTTTGTTCTTGTGTCTTTCCCCTTTATTTAAATGCTTTTCATCCTTCATATTTATTTTCCTAATATATTAATAGATACCACTTGTGTCTCCTCTCTGGTTTTGTTTTATTGCAGTAAACAAGCTGAGCCATCCTAAGATTTGTTCTTTTGAAAGGCTCTCAAGGTCTCTGATGATGAACCCAACTTCCCTCTAGCTCTCTCTTAGTTCAACATTAGCTCAGCTGTAGAACAATTGATTTAGTTTTCACAGTACCCCAAATGAGATTTTACCAGGGCCTTACACAATGACCTTAATACCTCCCTACATTAAACAAAATCCATCTCCTCAGATACTTCTTGTGGTGGTTTAATCCCAGCCAGCAACTAAGCACCATGCAGCTGCTCCCTCACTCCCTCACTAGCAGGATGGGGGAAAGAATTGGAAGTGCAAAAGTGAGAAGACTTGTGGAAGCTGTGCAGCAAACCAAGCAAAACAAAGAATTCATTCACAAATTCCCTTGGGCAGGCTGGTGTTCAGCCATCTCCTGGGTGGAGCAGGGCCCAGAAAAGCAAGGCCCTGTCACACATAACAGTGACTTGGGAAGACAAACACCATGACTTTGAACTGTTCTCCCTTCTTCTTTCCCTGGCCTTTTTTACTGATCATGATGGTGTGGGATATGCTTTGGTCAGCTGGGGCCAACTGTCCTGGCTGTGTCCCTTCCCAGTTTCCCATAAACTCACAGCCCAATCACTGATGGAGTGGGGTGAGGAGCAGAAAGGGTCTTGGCTCCATGCAAGCCCTGCTCAGCAATAACTAAAGAATTCCCCGCATTATCAACACTCTTCTTAGCACAAATCCAAACCACAGCCCCATTTGAGTCACTGTGAAAAAAATTAATCCTATCCCAACCAAAAGTAGCAAATTTATGGTGAGTCCTAAGTATATCTCATTTCTAAATTTCATGAACATACTCTTATTGATTTTATCAGGACTACTACAAAAAATATCAAATAAGACCATCCTAAACCAAACCCTTTAAGCCTGACATCTTTCTTTTCAACCTTATTTGTGGCTATCTCATTTATCTGTTTCTCTCCTAACCCTAATATGCTCATTACTTCCTAGGTGATACCATATCAAATGGTTTTGGGAATTAATACAGCAAATTCGAGTTTTTCCAAAGCTTTGTAGTGAGACTGAGACCAGGTTTCAGGGTCTGTGGTTGGCCAGGTCAATTTTCTTCTTTTCAGTGATGAGTAATTATAGTCCACGTTCAGCTGAGCTAACATCAGAGACTTGGAGACAGAGAGATGAAGATTGCAGGGGGTTGTTCATGACATGGTTTGACCTCTGGAGACATCTGAGTATAGAAGATGAGTCTCAGCCTGCAAGCTCTCAGTTAAATGCCTCAAGGGCAAGGCCAGGCCCACATTTGCTACTTTCCAGTCATGGCATTCTTAACCGATCAGTTCAAAACACTTCCCACTAGATTTTACATATTACCTGCTTCAGGACTGCAGACGTGGTCCCCATGATCTGAAAGCACAACATGAGAGTTCTGAATTTTTTGCTGTGGTAATCATTTCTGTTCTGCCATTCACGTGAGCTTAAATGTCACCACGACATTTTATGAAAAATCCTCTGCTAGGATTTTTCCCCTCCCAAGGAGCTGAGGGCCTCAGGAAAGAAATGTACACAATAACTATCTGCTGCTGTGGAATGCAACAGGTGCATCTGTGATTGGCGCATGTTGGTTGTTTGTAATTAAGAGCCAATCACAGATGCAGCTGCATCAGACTCTGAGAGTCACAAGATTTTGTTATTCTATTCTATTCTTGTTCTTTGTAGCCTTCTGATGATCTTTTCTCTCTGTTCTTTTAGTATAGTTTTAATGTAGTATTTTAATATAATATATATCATAAGATAATAAATCAGCCTTCTGAGAAACATGGAGTCAAGCCTCGTGACTCCACACATGGGGAGTTCCCAACACTTAAATGTTCTGCTGGGCCATTTAGAATGTATAAGGCATACCACTGTTTTCTAATTTTTTTAATTGCTTTATTATGTAGCAGATAACATGCATTGTTAAAGTTATTTTTAGTATTAAATTACTGTAAATGGTAATGATTCTCCTCAGGCAGCTAATAGGTGCAATCAAGAATGTGAAACCGTGTGAAAAAGCTGTAAGAAGGAACAGAAAAATATTTACTTTTTGCTGAGGACTAGTGCTTTAAAAAAACACACAAAAAATTAAAAACATAGTCATATTGTCTAAGAAATATTTACCTACAAAATAAAAGCTTGTGAAAGAACTCAGGGGTAATTTTTCTCCTCTGCTCTGCTCTCATGAGACTTCACCTGGAACACTGTGTGCAGTTCTGGTGCCCCCAACACGAGAAGGACATTGAACTGTTGAAGCAAGCCCAGAGGAGGCCATGAAGTTGCTAAGGGGACTGGAGCATCTCCCCTCTGAAGACAGGCCAGGAAAATTTGGCCTGGTGAAGATTGCTTCGAGACTTCATAGTAACCTTCAAGTATGTGGAGTGGCTGTACGGGGAATTTAGAGAGGGACTATCTGGAGCTTTAGTGATAGTACAAGGGGCAATAGTTTCAAACTAAGAGAGGGAATATTTAGGTTAGATACACAGAAAACATCCTTTACTGTGAGGGTGGTGAGGCACTGCACAGGTTGCCCAGAGTAGCTGTGGATGCCCCATCCCTGGAAGTGTCCAAGGCCAGGTTGACAAGGACTTTGGAGCAGCCTGGTCTAGTGGAAGGTGTCCCTGTCATGACGGGGGCATTGGAACTGGATGATTGGAACTTTAAGGTCCCTTCTAATACAAACCACTCTATGACTCTGATTTTTTTACCAATTTTACTCTTCAGACCTAACTGATGTCACAATTTACAAAATAATTTCTTATTCATGACCATTTAAAAACTGCAAAGCACTTTAAGCCTTATTAAAGCCATGTATTTTTAACTGTCATACTTATCCTAAAAATTAGCACAATTTAAAGATCAGGTCTCAGTTTCTTGAGGGAGGGAACACCAAAAATATGACCAACAGCTTTTAAAGGGTCCAGCTGCATGGGGACAGCCAACAGCAGATGCTGTCTCGAGCAGCACACGTTCCAAGGAGAACATGCTGCTGGAGAGCGCTGCTGTTAACCAAAACCTGGCCGCTCCTGCAGTTGGGGCTTTCCTGTCAGGCTCTGTTGCTGCCAATTTAGGGACTCTCTAAACACGGACAGAGCCAGGTTTCTAAACCTCTCCTTTCCAAGGGAGACACAGTTTGCTCTTTGCAGGGTGTGAGGCAGTAGTTTTCCACAAATCAAGCTACCAATTTTCAAAACTGTACACTACATATACATTTTAGCAAGCAAAGTCACAGTTCATTGGCTACAAGTTATCTAGCAATTTATTCGTATCGTTTCTTAAATTATTCTTTCCTTTCCAATACTAAGTAGTCCACATGCTCAGTCTTCTACTCTTTTGATTTGGTGTACTGGTGGTCGCCAGCTCCCACTGCTGGATTCTAAAGCCCATCAATTGGCACCAATCCCTTACATTACAAAGGGTACGGGGACCTGTGGCGCCAGCCAAGGGACAGAAGACACAGCAGATGACAAGAGATGGCCAGTGACATAGCAGGAGCCGACGACTCAGCAGGAATGTGCAATAAACGCCCAGGTGGTGCTTTGCCCAGGCTCCCTCCTTTGAGGTTATGAGGCCTGTTTCACTGGTGAGCCAGGACCCGTTTCACGGCCCTCTCCTCATCCTCTGTAACCCTCCGGACGATTTGTTAGCTCCCTCTGGCTCTGCGGGTCTCGGCGTCGCCACCTCCCTTCGGCCCGAGGCGCGGAGCCGGCCCCGCCGCGCCGGGGCTCGGAGCAGCCGCCGGTCGCCTCTCAGCGGCG